TGTCGGGGCCTGTGCTGGGGGTACCGGGCCCCCTGCAGGTGCGTGGGGCTCGTCGTGGGAAGAGGCCCAGCCAGGCCCCTGCAGAGGTGAGTCCTTTGTGCGGCTCCGCACGACCCGGGACCCTGTTTGCCCGAGTTTTCCCTGCCAGGGGCCCTGGCACGCCCAGATTCTGTGTGTGGCCTTTGGACCTCTGGGCGCAGACTCAGAGACTGATACCAAGTGGGTCGCTGACTTTCACTGGAGTTGGGACTCGGGCTGGGGACCCTGGTGACCCCAGACTGTGCCTCGCTCACGAGATCCCTGACCCTGGGCCCAGCACTGCTGCTCGGTGGTGGGGGGGGGTGGTCGGGGAGGGATTCCAAGCCCCCATCATCCCTCCCCATTTCTGGAGCCAGATTTCCTGAATGGGCAGGAACTGCGCACGGAAGTCCATCTGTCTTTCCGTGGGTGCTCGTGGCCCAGGAGGACAAGGAGCCGGGCTACTCACTTCCGTCACGGACTGCCCACACCACCCCTGGGAAGCCTGCCGTGAAGGCTGCAGACTGCCCTCCTGAACCCCACGGAAGCCCGCCTGGATTGACGGGTAGCACTGGGCACCCTCGATGGGCAGCAGGAAAGGGCAGTGAGCTGACCGTTCATGTGCCCACCCCTCCACCTCTACATCCCCTCGCCCACGTGCCCTCCGCCACCCACCCACCCATTCACCCATATGCCCACCTATCGGTCCATCCGACAGGCATCCACTCTCGACCCACCTCTTCAGCGCTAGCTCGACTCACCTGTGCACACGCCATCAGTCCACCCACTCACATGTCCGTCTTCCCACCTCCCTGCCAGTCCACCCCCATCTGTGCGTCCCTCCCTTCCTCCACCTCCTTCCTGCTGCTCCAGGGAAATAGACCCATGGAACTCGCCCCCCCTCCCCAGGGGGAGGCTGGTTTTCGCCAGAAGGAGATGTAGCCTGGGGTTCTCAGCAGTGAGAAGGAACAGAAGGTTCTGGAGTAGGCCGGCAGCCCCCCCCCCCAACCCCGGGGGGAGTTCCTGGGAGCGGCCCCCAGAGTTCTGGCTGTTCTGCACACAGACAGCTGGGCCTGGCTGGTGCTTGATGATGCCCCCGCAGTCCCTGGGCCTTGGGACTGTTTCCTTCCACCCCCGGCGGCCGGGAGCAGTGACAAGCGGAGCCTGCGGACTCCCAGCAGTAGGTTTCCGGGGCTCAGGTGGGGTTGGTGCTTGGGCAGAGCGTCCCCGGCCTGCAGGTGTGTTGGGCTGTGGAGACGAAGGGGCTTGGGACCAGCAGGGTGGCACTGGTGTGGCTCTGGATAGAGTGGTACCTGATGCCCGGGGCACCAGGCCCAGTCTCAGGGAGTGTCCAGCGGGGAACGGGCTGGTTTGGTAGGTGGAACCCCCTGGGCTCCGGCGGGTAGGGACTGGGGTGGGGACTGGCAGAGGCCAGGAGCGCTGGGGACAAAAGGAAGGACTGACCAGGGGACCTGGGGTCGGTGCCAGGGGGTGGGACGCTCGTCAGGAGCTTCTCCACGTGCTCAGCCCAATCTGCGCGTTCTCCAACGTCTCCCGCACGCTCTGCCTCTCTCTGCGCCCCTGGGAGGCCCCCGGGGAGAGCCGGTCTTGGGGGGCCCCGGGGAAGGGGGCCCCCAGGGTTGGCAGCTAGCGGGAAGGACCCGGGGTGGTGAGAAAGTCCTGGGCAAGCCGGGGCTGGAGCGGGTCACGTGGCTGTGACCGCGGATGGCCAGAGCACCGGCCCCGCCCACCGCCTCCGCGGACACCCCGCCCTCCCCTCCCGTCCCCTCCTGGGACCCCCGCCCACCGCCTGCCTGCAGGATCCAGGCCTGGTGGGGCTGGGGGTGCGGGCTCTGCACCAGCCCCGGAGGACGCTGTATGGGCTGGGCCTGGGGGGCTCTTCCACGCCCCCTCTGCGCAGTTTTTGTTCTTCCACACTGTTCACGGAGTGGGGGATGCGGGGCGGCCCCTCCTGGGGTCCCTGCAGCGCTTCTGCTTATCGTCCAGGCCTGGAGGCCTGTCGCCCCCCCCCCCCCCCTCCGAGGGGACAGCCCCTGATAAGAGGAAATTCCAGATTCCACCCCGTGACAAATGGCCAGTCCCGCCCTCAGTGGGGGCGCAGCCGCGCTCCTGGGGGGGAGGGGGCTGCTTTGGCCTCGTGGGTGGGCGAGGGTGGGGGCGGGGCTCGGAGCCCACGCCCCGCCTGGAGGCGGAGGGGGCGGGGCGGCAGGTTGGAGCCTGTCCCCTGCGGTCTGCGGGCCTCTGGGGCCCTCTGGGGCGGAGGCTGGCCAGCGGCCAGGGGGCCACTCAGCGGAGGAGAGCGTGCGGTGCTTCCTGCACCGTGGAGGGAGGTTTGCTTGCCAGGGCTTGGGGAGAAGCTTCGCTGGGCGGGGAAGTGGGGACTCCCCTCCCCCCCACCTGCAGTGAAGGACTTGAGGCGGGAACAGTGCAGTGACCACCGGCTCGCGGGTCTCCGCTGGGCGGGGGACAGCCCGTGCCCCGGCGGTGGGAAGTTCTGTCCACGCGGGCTCGGCGGGTATGTGCTGGGCGCCCGGTGCAGGCTGGCCCGTGCTGAGAGCTCAGTGCTAGGAGCCTGGTGCTGGGCACCGTTGCAGGCTGGCCGGTGCTGGCTGGACCCGGGCAGACAGAGAACAGAGTCTCCGGTTTCTGACCTCCTGGTGCCCGCGGAGACACTTCCTGCCCGACAAAGTGTGAAGTGTGATGTGGTTTGGAAATACTTAGGAATTAGATGCGCCCCAAGCGTGTTTAAATATTAAGCCCCTTGTGGGGGGGGGTAGGAAGTCGGGGGCGGTGTCTCTGACTAGTCTGTAGTGGCCAGTGGGAGAAGCAGGGCCTGAGGTGCTCCCTATCCCCCCCACCCCCCTCTGGCGGGTCCTCTCCCTGCGCCCCCTCCCTTGGCTCAGCCAGGATGGGGGTCACCTCCGTTTCTTCCAGATGCTCCCTGGGCCTCCTCTGGCCGGATACTCGCCAGCTGCTGACAGGGGGACTGTGTCCAACCCGAATCAGTGACTTTTGGGTTGTTTGGGGCCCACACCTGGCCTTGCGGTCACTCCTGCGCTGCCCGGGCCAGAACCCGGGCTTGCCGCACGGGAGCCAGTGGGAGCCAGTGGTCAGCCCTTGGAGCCCCCTCCCGATCAGGTGCTGGCTTTCCCTCTGCACCCGCGTGCCAAGGATGCTGAGACCCCCGCCGTCCCCAGTGGGCTGGCAGCGGGGTTTGTGGGACCACTCTCTGAGGTGACCAGGCGTCCCATAGGCCTCAGCATCCCCTAGGGCCACTTGGGACCCTGTCACGGCTGTATAACGTGCAGGGCACTGGAGAGGCAGTTGAATGGACTGGGCTTGGGGCCACTCTGACGGTGCTCAGGGCTGACTCTGGGCTCTGTGCTCGGGCTCCGTCTGAAAGGGCTCGGGGACCCAAGGGTGGCAGGGAAAGATCTCAGGTTGGCTGCATTCAGGGCAGGTGCCCTGGCCACTGTGCACTCCCTGGCCTCCGTTGGCTAAAATTTTAGGGTTGCTAGCGTGGGGCTCCCCTTGGCACCTGCCCCTCTACCCCTGATCACACCCCCCACCCTACCCCTCTGGAGAGCTCCCTACGGCAGCTGCCCCCCCCAGTGACGCCCCCTCCCTCAGCGCCCCTCTGCGTCCTGGGGGCAGGCCACTGAGCACTGTGGGGAGTGACTGTCACTCATCATTCCTGATGCGCCGTTGAGCGTGCCTGGGCTCAGTTGTAGGGGCAAGGCCCCGCCGTGGACCCTAGAGTGCCTGGTGGCAGTCACTGCCGACCTCGGCCTTCTGAGAACCAGTGGGGTTCGAGGGTGGAGGGTCCCCAAGGACTTGGGCTCCAGGGCTGGGAGGACCCGTGCACCCGCTTGCGAGGTCCTCAGTCACGCACACCCTCATTGGCTGTCACAGAGTGAGGGTAATGAGGGGAATGGGGCCGCTGTTAGCTGATGCTTGGGTGGAGTTAGGGGCTTCTGCTGGGTGGGGGCTCCCCGAGGGGTGCGCCTAGAGCAGCCCAGCATCCCTCTGGGGTCGCTGGGCTCGGCCTGGCCTGGGCCTTCCGGCGGGGAAGTGAGCCCCAGTCCTCCAACTTGTACAGAAGCGGCTGCCCCGCCCCCTCCGGCTTCCCCTGTGAATGTGGAACCATTTATTTTTGGGGGAAGAACTACCCTTTTCTATTAATAGCTTTTGATGAAGTTTGTGTGTGAAGCGAAAATGCAAAAAAAAATCCAGCCTTGCTGGCGAGAGGGCCCCGGGCGTGCAGGCGGTGGGGGGAGGGGTTTGACCGCGTTTCAAAAGCCCCCACATGTGGCCGGCATGTTAGGCCTAGAATGTTCCGGAGAAGAAAGACACGCTGCTGGCCGGGGTGGACAGGGCAGGGGTCGCCCGCGGTTCCTTCTCAGGCTCCCCGCACCCCCAGACCACTGAGGCCCCACTTCCTGCGGCGGAAGTGACCCGAGCCCAGGGCGGCCGTCCCCGAGGCTGGGAGGGGTGTGGGGTGGGCGCGGGGGGCCACGGCAGCTGGAAGCAATTTTCGGTCACGTGGGCGGCCCGAGCGCCTCCAGGAAGCGCCCCTCCCCCCTGTGCGGCTGGGGTGTGGGAGCCGCGGGGAGCGCGGGCGAGGGGTCCCAGCGGTGCTGGCGAGGAAGGGGGCAGCCCTGTCGGTGCAGACCCCCCTGAGGCCTGCAGGAGGTGGGGAGTCCCAGCAGGGCCCCTCGCTCTGTGGGAGCGGGTGGAGGGGTGCGGTGGGCTGGGCAGGGGTGAGGCCGTGCTGAGCCCTGTTCCAGGGAGCCACTTGGAGCCAGGGTTGGGGCTGTGACCTCACTTGACATTGGTGCCTGGCTTTGGCTCTGGGTTGGGGGGGGGTCCCCGGGGGCCCTGTGCCTCAGTTTCCCCTCCCCAGGGTTGGAGGCCGGGGGCTGCTGGCATCGCCCCTCACGCCCCTGCTCTGTCCCCTGCAGCCACAGAGGCGGCCCCCAGCAGCGCGGGTGACATGGCGGACACCCCCCGAGACGTGGGGCCCAAGCAGGCACCCGCCCCGCGTGGCGAGAAGGTGCCCGCGGACTTCGGCTACGTGGGCATCGACTCGATCCTGGAGCAGATGCGCCGGAAGGCCATGAAGCAGGGTTTCGAGTTCAACATCATGGTCGTGGGTGAGTGGCCGTGCCTGCCGGGTAGGGCCCCCTGTGCGCAAGGCCCTCCCGTCACTGCCCTGGTCATCTGGGTCAGCAGCAGCCCAACGCCCGCGACTGTCACTCTGGCCCTGGCGGGGAGAGGGGCAACTGGTCCCCAATGACAGGAACCTGGAGAGTGGACACTGGAACCTGCTCCTCCCCCTGGAATGTCCCCACCTGTAGGGCATGGCTGGGGAGGTCCACAGTGCACCCAGGGCTCTGGGTGCTCCCTGGAAGGGCTCAAGGGGGCTGCGGGGGGTGGGGTGCAGCTGTGATCCGGGAATCCAGGAAGGCTGGAGGCAGCCGGGCTATGCCCGGAGCAGTACACGCCCTGCTGATGGACTGATGTTCCTAGCCGATGGACCCATGTGCCGGTACCAGCGGCTGGGAGGGGCCCCCAGTGTTACCCCGGGGGTACTCAGGTCCCAAGGAGCAGTTCCAGGGTACAGAGCTTGCAACCCAGTGCCCGAATGACCCCCCCAGCCCCTCTTGTGCTGATTTTTTGTTTGTTGTTGTTTGTGTTTTTGTTTCATTTTTGGGCCCCCTGGTGAGGATCAGGGCTGACTCCTGACTCTGTGCTCAGGGATCACTCCTGGTGGTGCTTGGGGAAACCGGTGGGGTGTTGGGGATGGACCCCAGGCACCCTCTGCTGTGCCCTGCGCTGTCTCGTGCTGATTTTTAGCGCGTTGGTTCAGGCAGCACAGAGCAGGGTGTGACCTGGGGTCAGGGTTGAGACAGAGATGCCTCCCCGCCCCCGTGTGGCCTGGGTTCACGCGGACACCAGCAGCCTCACTGAGGAAGGCCTCTGAGGTGTGTGCGGGCTTGAGCACATGCTCCATTCCCTCAGCAGACCCCGTGTCAGAGAGTCCAGCCCGCCCATTACACACCCTCACAAATTGACGTTTTTTGTGGGGGCACACCCAGTGGTGCTCAGGGGCCACTCCTAGCTCTCCGCTCAGGCGTCATGCCTGGTAGTGCTCAGAGCATACCACAGGGTGCCAAGGATCGAACCCTGGTCGGCCGCGTGCAAGGCAGACCCCTGCGCTGTTGTATTGCTCTGGCCGCTTCCTTCTTTTTGTCCTTTGGGCCACACCTGGAGGTGCTGGTGCTGGAACCAGGGCTCCTGCCTGCTGAGCTGTGCTGAGCCCTCAGCGCTGTCTCTCACCCAGACACTTCGTCTCGGCTTGAGCACATCAGGGGCTGCCAGCCGCCCCCAGCACCGCACGCAGCACTCAGAGCTGGGGGCCCTTCCCGGTGCCCCCCGCTGGACGTGGGGTCCTCCGCCCCTCGCTGGGCCTTGTCTTCCTGGGAGTGACAGCCGGGCGCCCCAGGATCCGGGTGCCTGCTGCAGGCTGTGAACCCCGGAGGGGGGCTCCCGGGGGGACCATTAGCTGGGACCTCAGTGGCTGTAGACCCGGGCCCCGTGGGGGCACGTTGGAACACTCGGGCACCCAGCCGGCCCCCAACCAGCACGCTGCCTCCCCAGGACAGAGCGGCCTGGGCAAGTCCACCCTGATCAACACCCTCTTCAAGTCCAAGATCAGCCGCAAGTCGGTGCAGCCGCCGGCACCCTCAGAAGAGCGGATCCCCAAGACCATCGAGATCAAGTCCATCACCCATGGTGGGTGTGCACCTGGGTGCACATTGGGGTCGGAGAGGAGGAGGCAGGGTCCCCGGGGCTGGCGATATCAGGGGCACATCGGGGTCGGAGGGTGGGGGCGGGGTCCCCAGGCATGTCAGGGTCGGAGGGGAGGACCCCTGTGTGCCCACTTGGACAGAGATCCCCAGAGACGTCTCTGCTACCCACTGAGAGTTGGGGGGCTGGGGCTGACCTTGCTCGTGGCTCACATGGTCCCCTGAGCACCGCCAGGAGTAAAAGTCATGGGGGTGGCCGAGTGAGGGAGCACGCGAGGGCGCCTCTGGGGCAGGGAGGGTGCACCGGCCCTCCCTGAGCACGGGGCGCGGGTATCCGCAGACATCGAGGAGAAGGGCGTCCGCATGAAACTCACCGTCATCGACACACCAGGCTTCGGGGACCACATCAACAACGAGAACTGGTGAGGAGGGCTTCCTCGGGAGGGACAGCTGTCAGGGTGGCCCTCCCAGCCTCGCGGGTTTCTGCTGGGTCCGTGGGCGGGGCAGGGGTGGGGCCTGGGTCTGCGGGGCCCCGCGCTCACCTCGGCCCTCGGCAGCTGGCAGCCCATCATGAAGTTCATCAACGAGCAGTACGAGAAGTACCTGCAGGAGGAAGTGAACATCAACCGCAAGAAGCGCATCCCCGACACGCGCGTGCACTGCTGCCTCTACTTCATCCCCGCCACCGGCCACTCGTAATTACGTCTCCAGGCCTGCCTGGCCCCTGGCTCCAGCTCCAGCTCCGGCTCGGGCTCGGGCTCGGGCTCGGGCTCGGTGCCCAGCCCATGCCACGCCCCTTCCCTGCAAGCCCCGCCCACATCCCCCACCCACCGTAGCCCCGCCCCTCCAGTAAGCCCCGCCCACCTCAGCCCGCCCCTCCCGGTCAAACTCCACCCACCCGGCTTTGTTTCCTGGGTCTCCTTGACTTTCACTGCCCACCCAAGTCTGCGGGACATAGGCATCAGGGCTGCTGGACTCCCACGCCCTGTCGGACCCCCTCCTGGCTCTGTGGGATGGGATGGTGCCCCCACTTAACAGACCTTGTCAGGCCCCTCCCCTCCCCACCATTCACTGGGCATCTGCAGAGGGGGTGAGTTGGGGTCCCCCATTGCTGCTCCCAGCACACTCCTGTCCGCCTGTCCATTCCAGGCTCCGGCCCCTGGACATAGAGTTTATGAAGCGGCTGAGCAAAGTCGTCAACATCGTCCCGGTCATTGCCAAGGCTGACACGCTGACCCTGGAGGAGAGGGTCTACTTCAAGCAGCGGGTAGGCGCCCCCACTGGCCCCCTGGGGACCTCACTCCCAACAGGGACCCTGGTCCCGGAGGGGCAGGCTCCCTCTCCCCTCAGAGCTTGCCCTAGACCCCCCTCACTGCCTGGGGCCAGTTACCTTGTGGGGGTCGTGGTGGTGGCCGGTCAGCTGCAGCCTGCGGGTCCCCTCTCTCCCTCCCGCCCCCAGATCACCGCTGACCTGCTGTCCAATGGCATCGATGTGTACCCCCAGAAGGAGTTCGACGAGGACTCTGAGGACCGGCTGGTGAATGAGAAGTTCCGGGTCAGTGTGTCACTGTCCCAAAGATCGTCCCTTTTTTCATCACCTGCCCCTTCTAGTGGCCCAGGGTTAATAGCTTGGCAGCCCTGTCACGTGAAATGTTAGGACTGGGAGGGTTTGGAGCCTGTGTGCCCACACCGGCCTCCACGGGCCCGGGCTGGGGGCACAGCCACCTCTCAGGTTCCCGGACGCGCCCTCCGGTGCATGCAGGGACCAACGCCGCTGCCCTCCCTCCCCAGGAAATGATCCCATTCGCAGTGGTGGGCAGTGACCACGAGTACCAGGTGAACGGGAAGAGGATCCTTGGGAGGAAGACCAAGTGGGGCACCATTGAAGGTAAGGCCCAGTGGTGTCACTAAGGTGCTCCGGGGGCCTCATTCCGTCACCTCCAGCCCTGGAGGTGTAAGTGGCATGGGGCAGGATCCCCATGTGTGTTGGCGCCAGGACAGTCACCCTGCGGCCTCGGGAAGAGCCTGCCCAGAGCTCCAGGCTGGGGTCATCTAACCAGTTGGCACTGCCAGGGGCTGTCGGCCACTGGGGAGGGCAGGGAGGGACACTGCTGCTAGCCCTGATGTCCTGGGGTGAAGCCTCCCCCATGAGTCCATCCCTCCCACAGGGACAGTCCCTGAGCCCCTCCTGGAGACTGAGCCTTAAGGTCACCTACCTAGGCTTCCCCAGGCAGGTGCCCTAGGCAGCTGCCCGGAGGCTGGACCCGCACTGACCACCTGTTCTCTCCCTGCTTTGAGGCGGTGGCGGTGGGGACAGCTGTCCACAGAGGGCCTGCAGCAAAGACCAAATGCCCTGCACAGACCTAGCGCCCACTGCCCCGGCCCCGACATGCCCCTGGACCAGGAGATTCCAGTTCCTCCCCGCTCCTTGGTGCCTTCGGGCCCACCCAGAGTTGGGTGCAGCGCCCAGTTCCTGCTCCTGCACTCAGCTGCCTCTGTAGACATGCCCTTTGCCAGGGTCAAGGTCATCTCAGGGGCTTGTGGGCTGTCCCCTCCTCACACCCAGCCTTTCCCAGACCTGGCGCGGGGAACCTTGGTGAAAAGGGACCTGGCAGCGCAGCTTAGAGGGGCAAAGTGGGTGGCAGTGGCAGCTGCTGCCCCCTGGTGGCCAGTTCTCCTCACGGCCGCAAGCGTCACGGAGGGGGAAGGACGGGCAGCCGTCCTTGACTTTTGCAGGATGGACGGCCGGCTGTGGGAGTGCCTCGGTGCCCAGCCCCCCGCTTTGCTTCCTTCCCGCCTCTCTGACACCCGCATCCCTGCCCTTCCCGCGGGCCCACCATGAATTTAGTTCCCCCGAGAGTTTGGGGGTGTCACATGTGCCCCCCTGTTGGAGATGAGGAGACTGAGGGTCAGGGTGCTCCAGAAGCAGCAGTGACACGCAGGCCAGAGGGAAACCTGGGTCCTGCCTGCTGACCACGGGGCCCTCAGGAAGGCCGAGTCCCTGGGGATGGGCCCTGTGGCGTGGGATAGTGGGGTGGGGGTTGTGCCCCCCCCCCAGTACTGAGTGGGAGTAGACGGGCTGTAGCCCCCACACTGCAGGAAATGGGCCCACAGTGGGGTACCACGGGGGCAGGGGTTGCTGCCTTGTATTTCCTCTACCATCTCACCGATGGACTGTGCCAGAAGCTTCCAGAAGCTTCCATCCTTGGCAGCCATCTGTGGTGCTGGGTACCATCGAGGGACTTGGGACCCCCTTCTCTCCCGCTGCACCAGGCCTGGGGGCAGCAGGGGGAGCAGACGTCCCCGGGGGCTACTGACCTTCTCTCCCCCTGCAGTTGAGAACACCATGCACTGCGAGTTCGCCTACCTGCGAGACCTCCTTATCAGGTGAGCGGCGGGAGAGGCCCCGTGGCACCCCGTGCCTGCTGGGGAGTGTGGGAGAACGACTCTGCAGACTGTTTGGGGTGGTGGGTTCGGCTGGAGCATCTTGGACTCGGGGTCCCCAGTCACCATCCCAGCATCTTCTGGCACAGCCCAGGCAGGGACCAGGCCAGCAGGGCCCTCGCCATGTCCCAGCCAGCAGGCAGAGGAGAAATGGGGCCCCAAGACAGATGCCCCCCCCAGTCGGGACTCTGCTGAGCATGGGTCAGACCTGAGAAACAGTCTCGGGCTCTGAGGGTGGGGGCACCCGTGCCTGCCGCGTGCCCCACTGTGTCTGCATGGGGGCACCTGTGCCCCCTGTGAGCCCCACGATGCCCAGCATGGGGGCACCCGTGCCCACCACGCTCCCCCTTGTCTCCGCAGGACGCACATGCAGAGCATCAAGGACATCACCAGCACCATCCACTTCGAGGCTTACCGGGTCAAGCGGCTGCACGAGGGCCGCGGCGGGCTGGCCAATGGCGTGGAGGAACCGGGCCTGGGAGCCCAGGAGATGTAGCCACCCGCCCGGTCCCCGCCCCCTCGCCTTCGCCGCCCCAGACCTGCCCACGCCCCCTTCCTTTCCTCCACCGGTCCGCCTGTGCACCGTCCCTTCGACAGGCTCCGAGCACCAAGAGGCCGGATGCTGCGCCCCCACCCCACCCCCGTTTCTCATAGGCCTGCTGGCACAGGGGGCTGTGGTTGGGTGGGACCCCCATCCCTGAGGTCTGCCGGAGGCTGAACCAGGCCTGCAGAATTTCCCCCCCACTCGGTTGGCACCAGCAGGGGGAGCCCTGGAGCCCTTTCCGTCCCGTTCTCCCCTAACCGGGACCTGCGCTAGGCCCCGCCCCCAGTGATTTGGGCCCCGCCCCGCCTTCCACGTGGTGCGGGCGGAGCTGAAGGCCCCGCACCGGTGATGTGCGCGTCAGCCCGGCCCTGGGTGTGGGCGGAGCTTCGAGCCCGTCCTCCTGTGGGCGGGGTCTTAGGCCCCGCCCCTCGCTGTGTGGGCGGTGCCTCCCCCCCCCCCCCCCCCCCCCCATGTAGCCAGACCGGCTGCTGCTTGGATACAGCGGGGCTGCGGGCTGGCTTCTTGCCGGGCCCCACGCAGTCCTGGGTTAGAAAGTGCCTTTTGCCCCCCCCTTCCCCCCCTGCGCTGTGCATGCCGCAGCAGCCCCAGCTGTTCCTGCGCCAGGCTGGGGGGCCGGTGAGACGGGGAAGCCCCTCCCGGTTTCCCTCTGCCTTGTGCCCAGTCCCCCATCCCCTTGCAGGGGTTTGATTGGAAAGTATAAAGGAAGGTGGTCCCCTCTCGCCCCCACGGACAGAGCGAGGGAGGGGAAGGGAGGGGTGCGCGCCTGGCCCGTGCTCCCGCTCCCTGAAGGGGGCGCCTGCTCTGCCCCCTGCCCAGCCCCCTGAACCTTGCCCTCAGCACCCGGGGAAACCCTCAGCAGGAGAGGTCCAGATGCAGGTCTGTGTGTGCGGCCTGCACACTTGTGTTGCAGCCGGGACCCCCCCACAGCCCAACGTGGACCGTGGCCCCCCGCCCCACTCCTGGGAGGGGGGAATCTGACCCCTCTGACGGACTTAGGTAGGGAGCGCGCCCCGCAGTGAGCCAAGGGGTCAGATGTGCCCCTGCAGCCGGTCACCCACTCGCCCTGTGTGCCAAAGGAGTGGGGGGCCAGCGGGGCCGCCCCTGGCCCCGGGTCCGGCCCAGCCCGAGCCTTTGCTTCCTCTCCTTGTAGACAGATTTGGGGGAACGTCCGACTTGCCGGGCCTGTTCTGCGGTGGCCTTTTCGCTGTGTGCCTCCCCAAAACTCCTCTTTTTTGTATAAATAAAAGTTGAAAATGTATTTCCTGAAATAAATGTTACAAACGCAGGGCCCAAGGCTGTGGTGTGAGCTTGCTGTGTTCTCACACCCCCTCCCGCTCCCTCACTACCCCCCCCACATACACACACACGGGAAGGGGGGGCAGGCACTGGGCGTGTCTGGCCCCAAACTGGGGAGTCCCTGAGGCGGGCTTGGGGGGTCCTGGGTCCTGGGAAGTGAGGCTTCCCCTGAGAGGGTGCAGTCAGCTCAGGCCTGGCCCAGCGCCGATGGGGCACTTGGCTTGGTGAAGACCTGTCTGTGGCCTTGTGGGGTACCAAAGAGGCTGGGGGTGTCTGGGGCGGGAGCCCTGGCTGCCCGGCCCCATCCCCTCTCCTTGGAGCCTGAGGACCAGCCCACATGGGTGCTGCAGGGGTGGGGAGGGGCCCGCAGGGGGCACCCGGTGCCTCATGGGGCTGTGGCTGGGATGCCAGCTTGTGTGCGTCACTGTTGGGGACACAGGATGGTTCCTCAGTACAACTCATTCACCTCATTCATGTCCAGGGGTGCTGAGGCTTCCCTGGCTGCAAAGGGTGGGTGGGAGTGGGGGGCCCTTCTCCCTCCCCAAGGGGCTCAGGCCTGTGACTGCAAGGGCTGGAGTCCAGGACCTTTGACCCTCTTCCTGTCTGGCAGCTGCAGCCACCACCCCCTACCCCCAGGTCACACCCCCTGGAGGTCATGCCTCTTGGCCACATTTTGAGGTTTCTGCCAAGAGGCAGGGGGGAGGGGCTGGGAGGGAGGCCAGTGTCGGCCCACAGGACAGTGGGTCAGCGGCCACCAGCAGAGGCTGCAAGGCCCCCCACACCCACAACGTGCCCACACCCAGCAGGGGGCCACAAGTGGGATGGGGGTTTGAGGGACCCACCCTCGGGACTGCCGTGGCCACTGACTGCAGCGCCTCCGAGAAGGTGACCCGGTGTCCCTGGAGGTGACAGGAGGTGGCTGTGGTCACTGGAGGGGACACTGCCGCCCCAGGCCGAAACGTGGCCTGGGCCAGACCAGCTGTCACTCCGGCTCTGAGGTATCTCCCGGTGGTGTCCCCGAGGCCCAAAGACGGCCACCAGGCGAGTCCAGCGCTGTCAGGGGCCGGAGGAGCCCTGGGGACCTGGCTGGACGGCCTCAGACTGGCACCCCGGCCAGCCCAGCCGTGCCACACTGTCCCCACGAAGGGACCAGCCTCTGCCCAGGCCCTATCCCTGGGTCCCGGCCTCGCGGGTCGGCGCCCCGCCAAGTCCCGGCACGCTGCAGCCCTGAGCCCGCTGAGGGGCGGGTGTCTAATCGCATCCACGCTGTAATTTAGCAATTATGTAACCCACACTCGTAATTTAGGGGGTTTCTCATAATTCCGCTTCGCACTTGCTCCTTTTGAAAAATATGCAACATTGATGCTTTCCCCTTAACGCTCCACGCACAGGTGTTTCCCGGCCTTCCCCAACCTCCTCCCGCCACACACACACACCCTGCTCACAGGGCCCAGGGCTGCCTTGAGGGATCCCAAAGACAAATGTCATTGGCCCAGGGAAGGGCTGGCCGCCCCTTGCAACAGCTGAGGTCAGAGCTCCGAGCTGTGACCTGCCCTTGCACCCCAGCTCTGGGCGCTCCCTGGGGCTGGGCCCAGCACTCCTGTCTTGGGGCCACATCACCCGCCTGTTCTCGCTGAATGTTTCCCGGGACCCTGTGGCTCCCCAAGGAACGGAGGGCAGGGGACAGGGCCCCTCTCTGCTCAGCTGAGGGTGACAGGTCAGACAGCCCGTTGGTGGTTGGCGGCTGGGAGCCACCGGTCAGTGAGGCCCTAACGCTTCCCCAGGGCTGACTCCTGGCTCAGTGCTCAGGAATCGCTCCTGAACCACACAGGTTGCCGGGGATCGAGGCCAGTGAGTCCCGTCGCTCTGGCCCTGAGCCTTTTTGTGTCTGTGCAGAGGCCAACGGGTTCCCTGGCCACAGGGCGCAGGAGGACGTGGGCTGGGGCCGCCGCTGCCCTCAGCTCCCGCTCGGGACTCCGCCCCCACATCTGGGCAGCATTCTGAGGGCACTGACGAGGCCCCGTTGGTCGCGTCCTTGGGAGCCCTGACCATCAGCAGCATGGGAGGAACAGGATGTCCTGTATTCAAAAATAGGCTGCGTCGTCGCAGGGAGGAAGCCCGGCCTTGTCGCCGTCACCACACGCACGGCTGTGGTGAGAGACGCCTCGAGCGGGACCCACGCGGACTTGTGAGCAAGTGTCCTCCTGGCCTCCTGCCCAGGGGCCCCCGGGTTGGCACTAGGAAAGAAAGTTTGGAAAAGCCCCGCGGTTAGCCGGCGGCCGTGGACAGAGGCTGCGGTCACCCATCTGCCATCATCTGTCTCTCATGGGTCGTGATCCCTGGTGCGTGTCTACACCGCTACCCACCAATAGCATCCGGGAGCTGTCACTGGCCGTCCCGCATGTCGGCTGTCACCTGTGTGTCGGTTTTCTGTTGCTAGGAAACCAGTCACTGGGGGTCAGCTGGGAGACTGAGGCTCAGGGTCTGTGAAGGGACCCCCCCCTCCCGCTGTGCCGGCCAGCCCTACTTCCTGGACGTCAGGGGTGACGGGCTGGCCGTCTCAGATAGCACAGTCATACACGGCCACTGTGCCAGGGTCCTTCTGCGTTCACCACTAAGAACGTTCAAGTCGGTAGCTTTTATTTTTGTTGTTGGATCTTGGGCCCCACCCAGCAGTGCTCTGGGCTTACTCCAGGCTCTGTGCTCAGCGGTCACTCCTGTGTGGGCTCAAGGGACTATATGGGGTTCCAGGGATCAAACCTGGGTCAGCTGCGTGCAAAGCAAGTGCCCTGTCTGCTGCGCTCTCTCCTGGGCCCCTCAAGTCAGTATATATACATTTTTTTTTGCTTTTTGGGTCACACCCGGCGATGCACAGGGGTTACTCCTGGCTCTGCACTCAGGAATTACTCCTGGCTGTGCTCAGGGGACCATATGGGATGCTGGGAATCGAACCCGGGTCGGCCACGTGCAAGGCAAACGCCCTACCCACTGTGCTATCACTCCATCCCCAAGTCAGTATATTTTAAAGTTTTTTTTTAATTACACAGATGTCAGTATATCGTGCGAATAGCAAATGATCGAATACTAAAAAGGCAAGTGTCCTGCAAAGGACATTTTTGCTCCCCAGCCCCTTCACCAAACTCCTGTGATGACAACCTAACCCAAGATGTGGGAGATGGGATGGGAGGCGAAGGAAGACAGGTGGGAGGTGAGGTAAGGTGAGGTCAGGTGAGGTGAGGTCCAGGTGAGGTGAGGTGAGGGGGAGACGAAGTGAAGTGAGGTGAAGTGAGGTGAGGTGGAGGTGAGGGGAGGTGAGGTGGGAGATAGATAAGGTGAGGTGAGGTGAAGTGAAATAAGGTGAGGTGAGGTGAGATGAGGTGAAGTGAGATGAGGGGAGGGGAGGGGAGGGGAGGGGAGGTGGGAGATGAGGTGAAGTGAGGTGAGGTGAAGTGAGATGAGGTGAGGTGAGATGAGGTGAAGTGAGATGAGGTGAGGGGAGGGGAGGGAGGAGGTGGGAGATGAGGTGAAGTGAGATGAGGTGGAGGTGAGGGGAGGTGAGGTGGGAGATGAGGTGAGGTGAGATGAGGTGGAGGTGAGGGGAGGGGAGGTGGGAGATGAGGTGAGGTGAGGTGAAGTGAGATGAGGTGAGGTGAGATGAGGTGAAGTGAGATGAGGTGAGGGGAGGGGAGGGAGGAGGTGGGAGATGAGGTGAAGTGAGATGAGGTGGAGGTGAGGGGAGGTGAGGTGGGAGATGAGGTGAGGTGAGGTGAAGTGAGATGAGGTGAGGTGAGATGAGGTGAAGTGAGATAAAGTGAGGTGAGGTGAGGTGAGGTGAGGTGAGGTGAGATGAGGTGAGGGGAGGGGAGGGAGGAGGTGGGAGATGAGGTGAAGTGAGATGAGGTGGAGGTGAGGGGAGGTGAGGTGGGAGATGAGGTGAGGTGAGGTGAAGTGAGATGAGGTGAGGTGAGATGAGGTGAAGTGAGATAAAGTGAGGT